TTAAACTATTGTCAACAACAAGATGGGAAAGTCATATTAATAGTGTTAGAGTCATAATAACCCAAACTGATGATATAATAGAAGCTTTGTTTGAATTGTCTAGAGTTAGTGAAGATACCAAAACAAAGAGTGAAGTTGAATCTTCAGTAACACATGAAATTGAAAGTTTTGAATTTTTGTTGAGCATGACTATATGGCATAACATTTTGAAAAAAATTGACTTGGTTAGCCGAAAATTGCAATCTGACTGGAGATATGTAACTTGATGCTGCAATAAAAAATTTGAAGGGGCTTGTTTCTTATTTTGAAGACTATAGGCAAAATGGGTTCACATATGTCTTACTTTCTACAAAAAAATATTGCATCTAAGATGGAAATTAACCCTGTATTTCCTAAAAAAACGTCAACTTCATAGGAGAAAACAATTTGATGAAAATGATGTTGGAAATATGAGTGCTAAATTGCTATAAAATAAACAAAATAAATACTGCACATAAAAACAAATTTTTACAAAAGGAGAATTGAATTAGAAGAACTTTAATTGAGTCGAGGCAAGTGTTGGACACTCTGACCTTAAGACGAATTACGCCCCACACTAGTGCTTATGGTTCACTAGCGTTCGCCTCTCAGGATACAATGACTCCCCTCCTTGTGAAAGAAGCACTGCAATTCACAAGGAACTTTGAACCCAAATTATGCAGGAACCTCTCTTTATGAAAACTCTAATGCTCTCTATATATGAAAGTCTGTATGTAGAGAATTAAACTGAATTAAATAAAACTGCAGGAGGATTGCTCTATTTATAGATGATGAAATACCCATTCCAAAAGGAATCTGAAAAGGCAAACAATGCATCCCTTGGTTTGAAGAGTTGTCACCCCCCATGTGAAGATATTTTTAACCCAAGGGTCATGTCTTTAACCCAAATGGATTTTATTAATTTCCATTCAAATAGGAAAATTAATATTGGTTATTATTAAATTTCCAACAATCCCCCACATGAATGGAAATTGACTCAACAACATGCAAACAAAAAATGAAGACACTAGAGAGAGTCCCTACTGGAAGAATACTGCATCTGGATAGGTAGCTTTTGGCCTTGAACCTTCCATAGTGGAATACTATCAGATTTACTTGGCTAATCAGTGAACATGATGTCTTGAACTGTTCAGCCGTTTGTGTAAATTCAGATAATAGCACTCACACAATACCCTTCTAAACATGTCTGGTTCGATCGGTTGTGCTCGTTTTGGCCCTAAGCGATTCCTGGTATTCATGAGAGCTTTAGAGAATTCAAGCCTTAAAAAATGCTCATAGAAACGGCCTCATTTCACACTCACATAGGTGACTTCCTATTAAGAGTATCCTGCACTACCCCACTCGAATTTCCAAGCTATAGAAATCATTAAAATCAAAGATTACCCTAAAACACTCTACAGGCAGCACTGTTTCATCATAGGACATGGGTAGGAGATGTAATCTCGGCAATGCTACTACTTAGTCATCCATAACTTGGTTGCCCCTTTTGAACCTAGATCTTGGGATCTCCAGTCAGCAAGATTGGGTATCCACTATGGAGACTTTAAATATTTAGGCTTATACTCTCATTCCCTCAATGATCAACTAACTCTCTAGTCTGACCTTTAAATATTGGATCCACTAGGTTGACTATTTCTGTAATATATTGCCATCATAATTTCATACATGGAAATAAATTTCATTCAAGAGTAGTTGAGCGTTTAATTTATTTTTTTAAGACTTAATAATTGTGCCAACTGAGTAACCTTCTAATACTCAGTTAGATACCCCCACATTTGTGGTACTTATAGGAAGGTCTCTAACCTTCTCATACCTTGTATAAGAGAAATTTAAACTCTTATGAACACCAAAGTCTCTCTCCACAAAAAACGTGGTGCTAGAAAACTTCCATTTTCTCTTTTAGGAAATAGAATTCCAAATTTTCCTTCATGTCTGTCACCCCCACAATTTTCACATAATTGTGGAAGGTATTAAGTTGATTATTTTGTCATATGCCTAAAAAGTAGAAAACTTTTACTTTATCCTTAAAGAATGAGATAATAGTTCTATAATATTAGTTTATAATTTCCTTTAAATCAATTTAATGTTGCATTAGTAATAGAACCATGTTTATAACATAATTAACATGTTCTAGTTACCATACCCTCATTAATTGATCAAAGCAAATCATTATAAAACTAATTTTCCTTTATAAAGTGCACATCAATTAATACATAGGGTAAGGTTTTGGTACCCTTTGTTCATATGCATCTCATTCTATAGATAGTACAATGGAGATATTTATTCTTAAACTATTTTCACTTCTTAGGCTCTTTGTAATAGAACTACTAATTAGCTTTCCCCCTTTGAAACCTCAAAGTTTTCATACCAAGTGCCTCACTCGAAATACTTTGACTAGTTTCTAATCATGATCAACATGGTTGCTGGCATGAGCTATGATTGTTAACATAGCCCTATATGGTTTCTCATTTCTCATACAGAGTAACAAAGTCCCACACAATTTACAAAACAAAATTTTTGCAAATTTCTGAACTGTAAACAAATTGATATGTCTCGTAATAGAGAGCATGTGGGTCTGTACACTTTGAATTGAATAAAACAAAAAGAAACTGAAAGGAAATCCAATTAAAAAAAAAAATGTTTACCCAGAAGTACTGAAACACTTGAATGAATAACCAACTAATTCAAACTCAAGTCAACAATGCAATGAAACTGTAATACGCATCAAAATCGTTTTACATTTTTTCAACTAAATGCATAATCACAGACTAATATACATAGCAATTAACACAAATTAATCTGTCTTAAGATTGTTGGAAATATGAGTGCTGAATTGCTATAAAATAAACAAAATAAATACTGCACATAAAACAGATTTTTACAAAATGAGAATTGAATTAGAAGAACCTTAATTGAGTCGAGGCAAGTGTTGGACACTCTGACCTTAAGACGAATTACGCCCCACACTGGTGCTTATGGTTCACTAGCGTTCGCCTCCCAGGATACAACGACTCCCCTCCTTGTGAAAGAAGCACTGCAATTCACAAGGAACTTTGAACCCAAATTATGCAAGAACCTCTCTTTATGAAAACTCTAATGCTCTCTATATCTGAAAGTCTGTATGTAGAGAATTAAACTGAATTAAATAAAACTGTAGGAGGATTGCTCTATTTATAGATGATGAAATACCCATTCCAAAAGGTATCCCAATCTGAAAATGCAAACAATGCATCCCTTGGTCTGAAAAGTTGTCACCCCAAACAATGCATCCCTTGGTTTGAAGAGTTGTCACCCTCCATGTGAAGATGTTTTTAACCCAAGGGTCATGTCTTTAACCCAATGGATTTTATTAATTTCCATTCAAATAGGAAAATTAATATTGGTTAATATTAAATTTCCAACAAATGATCATGAAGAGACTTTTCAATCTGCTCAAGAATATTTTAGGGTTAATTATTTTCTTGTTGTGGTTGATGCTGCTATTTCTTCTTTGAGGAGTATATTTGAACAATTAGAAATACTTGAAGGTATTTTTGGTTTTTTGTTGAATCCTAAAAAGTTATTTGCAATGAATTATCATATATTGCATGAATGTTGTGTTAATCTTGAAGATGCTTTAACACATGGTAATGAATCTGATATTAATGCTGATGATTTGTGTTATGAATTGGAAGTTTTACGATTGTATTTACTACTAGAGGCCAAGACAACCATTCAAATTCTTGATTATGTAAAATTTGTAAATTGCTTTCTAAATGTCTCATTTGCTTATAGAATTATATTGACTGTGCCAGTGACTGTGGCGTCTGTAGAACGAATTTTTTCAAAATTAAAATTAATAAAATCCTACTTGCATTCTACTATGTCACAAGAAATGTTGAATGGATTGGCAATCTTATGCATTGAAAAGAATTTGTTGGAAAAGCTTGATTTTGAAGATGTTATTGAAGATTTTGCTTCTCAAAATGCTAGAAGATCAAGAATTTTCCAATGATTGTTTGTACTTTTAATGTTATTGTTTTTGTTTTTGTTTTTTGGATTGTAGATGGTGCAAAGGAAATCAAGCAGCTATTTGCGTATATTGATAAAGGGAAAGCATCATATATTTGCACATTGTAATGGGGTGGATCTCTTACTGGCTGCCTATTTGGGACCCTTCCAAATTTGCTGCAACCATTTCATATATTGTTTTCAAAGCTGCTTTTGTGATCCAGATTATACACAAACAATGACTTCGTTGTTAAGAGACTTAGACTATGCTTTATAATTGACTAAGTAGGATTATGCTTTATAATTATTTATCGTAATGTATGCTAAGTTACTTATTATAATTTGTTTTAGTTGAAGACATTTGTGAGTTACTTTTAGTGGACGTTTTGTGTCCTACTTTCTTTCTTTCAAGTTTTATGTCTTAAAAAAATATGTATGTCATTACTTATTGTAGTTTCTTTGTCCATTTGTGCTACTATTTGTTACTTTTCTTATGTTGTTGTATGATTCTTTGTGCACATCAAAAAGAGGATGCTGCACTTAAACTCATGTGATGAAGCCTGAAGCTAGAAGCCAATCATAAGGGAAAGGGTTTAGTAATTTGAAAAAATACTTAGTTTTTATGTATCTAATCTTTTTCTTTTTTTTTTCTTTTTTAAAACACGGAGATATGTCCTGCTATAATACATACTACTTTTTTTATTCACATGCTCTAAGCGCTATGTACAAACTTAACGGGTCCACCTGTTTTCAACACGACCCATTAAGCCCCAACTCAAATACTTACTTTTTCATTCGAATTTGTGTCATGTTAACATGTCATGTACAATATATTGTTAGATCTAAATACAACAACGTTATTTTTAAATAATTGGAATATGTGCAGAAGAAATACATTTGCAGACAAATACATGCGTAGATAGATGTAGGGTAATTAATACAAGTGTGGGTTTTTGAGTAGAAGGGAATTTGGCGGTTAGGGTTTTAGGAGAAAGTGGGACAGAACGAACAAGCAAGCGACCTTTGCTTATTTTTGTTTTGCACTTCTTTTCGGGGACTGAGGAGGCACCTTCGCCTTCACTTAGACCTCACACTCGCTTCAGCTGAAATTGCTGCTGTCTCTTTGTATTTCTGCCCCAACAAAACCCTAGAGGTAAACTGAACCTCTCTCTTTATCTCTCTCAATGAATTTACTTTGACACCATGAAAACGAAAAGAAGATTTGGGGTTTTCATGTATGGTTGTTTGTTAATGTCTTATTTAGGGTCCGATTGCTAGCCACATTGTCTCGAATGGTTTCCTGAAACCCGTTTTTCTTTTATTTCTGTTTGGGTTGTCTGCGTGTCCTTCTGTTAGGGTCTGCTCTAAATGTATGGCGTTTCAGGGTTTGCCCAAAACATGAAATTTCTGAAATGTTTAAATTTTAGCATGATTTTCTATGTTCTGTTTGGGAACGTAGAAAAAGGAAAAGATAATCGAAGGGTTAGTGTTGTTTTCTAAGAAACCCAGAAGGAATTAACAAAGAGGAACTTGTTAATGTGCCTCTTTTGAGCCAAGGGGTTCCATTACGTGTGTAACTCAGCCTAACGTTTAAACATTTTCTTCTGTTTCTTGCTCACTATAAAATTTGTATTTGCCCATCTATGGTTTACTGAAACGGGGCCCAGAAGAAATAAGTACAATAGGAGAGCTGTTATTATTCAACAGAAAACATTAGTAATAGTTGCTGTTATGTTTTCTGCTTCATTTTCTGATTTTCTTGTGCTTCCTGGTTATATATAATATTACTAAACACGTCGTAATTCAGTACGACTAGACAAAACAAAAAGCCTTTAAAATGAAATTCAGTTTTCCCTTTCACACATTTTGTTTTATGTTTTCTGTTTTTCCTCTCCTAATTACAGAGAGGAGAGAGATTTGGGAGAAAGGAGGGGGAGATGAGCCATGAGAGAGAGACAAAGAAGTAATAAGGACACATAAAGAAAAAAAATGTTTATTGGTTTTAAGTGTAGTTTATAATCTTCTCCTGTCTTTCTTGCTTCTATCATCTCTCTTCACTTTTTCCTTCTCTATCTACAACTAAGAAACTAAGAAACAAAAAAAAATCAACAACTCTGTTATGGTTCTTTGTATGTGTTTTAATCTTTGTCAAGCTTTTAAATGAGTCGGTTTTGGGACCTTATGAAATGCACTTGGTCAATTGTTTTGATTATCACTGTCTAACTAGTGTTTGGCAAGAGCATGATGTAAATTGCTCTTTTTAAATTGATGCATGTGCACCAGACCTAAATACAATAATCTGTTGAGTCCCTGATCTTTCCCATTTGAGCAAAAATGTTTCAGAATAGAGTTATTATATGAAGGTTTGCCTAATAAGCTGTGTAGCGCTGATTGAACACCAGTTGGATTCATGTTTAGATTTTTAGAATCCCACTAATCCACTTATTTTTTTCAGAAACTTAACTTGTAATTTAATTAGACTTTTAATGGTCCGGAGCATTCATTCTCGTTGCATGTGCTTCTGTTACTTGCAATTCAGCTGAGAGAGACCCAGATGGCACAGTGGGGTACTCGTCGTAGGCGAGTTAAGTTCCTTGGCCAACATGAAGAAAACAAACCCCAAATTTCTTCCAGCATCACTGAGGAAGAAAATTCAACAGATGAATTTAAAGTAGCTGTGAAAGCTGAACCTCTAGAAATACCAGAAATCAAGAAGAGGAAGCGCCTCAGCCTAGGCAAAGGCAGATGGACAACTAGTAGCTCTAAGGGTAGGACAAAGAAGCGTAATAATGTGACTGAAAGATGGACAGCTGAAAGGTGAAACCTATATCACTTTCTTGTTTATGACTCTGGTGGTAAGGCATTTTGATATCACAACAAATTAAATACATGTGCAGGTATAAGCTGGCAGAGGAAAGTATGATGGAAGTTTTGAAGGCTGAAGGTGCAACTTTTGGAAACCCAATTTCCAGGCTCGAACTCAGATCGTTAGCACGTAAGCGGATTGGTGATACCGGGTTGCTCGATCACTTACTGAAGCACATTGATGGTAAGGTGGCACCAGGTGGGACTGAGCGGTTTCGGCGGTGGTTCAACACCAATGGAACAATGGAGTATTGGTTGGAGAGTGCTGATCTGGTTAACATTCGTCAGGAAGCTGGGGTGCATGATCCTTATTGGATTCCACCATCTAAGTTGATGCCATGTGGTGCCCCCTCAGAAGATTCTGTTTCTGCTGGAGAATTGAAGCTACTCAAGGCAGAAGTGGATAAAATGAAGAGGTAGATAGAAACTTTATAGACCAATTTCTAACTGAAATAGGTATCCCTAAATAATTTCTCTCTTGTATTAAAAGTGATATGCAGGAGCTGCTGTTATCCAAGAAGCAAGAGAAAGACCGAGCCAATCAGGTTGAGTTGAATGTTAAAACAACGTTGTAGCTACAATTGTAATTTGATATTGGACTGCTGCTCGAATAAAACCTCAATTGAAGTGTTTGTTCAGCAGAATATGCTTGAGGATTTGATGAAATGGAAAGCTCAGACTGAGCAAAGCTTGAAAGTGATTTTAGGTTCTTGGAAGGGTATGCAGGTATATGAATAGTATATTATCATCACTGATTCAAAGTCTGATACTTTAGAAGATTAAAAAAAAATCTAATGGAAATCATAGTTGTTGGTTCTTTCATGTTTTGGAAAATACATCTAGTTGTGTTCTGATTGTGTCAGTTTGGCTCCTATGAAATCTCTTTTTCTTTTCTACAGGACAAGTTTGAGGAATTAATGATGTGGAAAGCTAAAGTTGAGCAACAGGTAGCTGAAATGACTAATGTCATGAGTAATATGCAAGTACCAAAGCAATACACTGCCACCAACCCTGAAACATCTGAGCGATGGGAAGATTGGCTAGAGAGCACCAACCTCGATAATTTTCAGGGAAATGAACTTGTGCCTTGGTTTGAGAGCACAAATCTGGTTAATGCTGAGGAAGGAGTTATAATCCAAGATCCCTACCTAGCCCCACCACTTAGATCAAAGCATGGCGATAGCTCATTTCCAGACCCTTTTAGCAAAATCAAGGAAGAAATTACTGAAATGGAGAGGTAACGAATGAAAACTAAACGTAAAGTCAAATCATAAAAATTTCTTACAACTAATCTGAGAGGTGTTCTCATTTTGCTGCAAGAAACAGACATGTGCATGAGCTGATACCAAGGAAACAAAAGGAATATCAAGCTAATGTGACCCCTGATTCTTCTGCTACTGCAAATTCAAAGTCAGAGCTTGATAATTTGTTTATGTTTCAGGTGATATGCTGACAACAGACAAATAGAGGCTTGATATATGCATAAATACATGCATGTGTTGCTTATGTTTTATGTTATTTTTTTTCTTTCTGGAATGACTTAATAAAGCCTCATTTGAAAGTTCCTTCCTGACAGGAAATGTTACAGGAGTTGTTCAATTGGAAATCTATGACGGAGCAGAAGCTGAGTGAGATGTCAAATTCCGTGAATGCCATCAAGCAGACATCAAAACTAATGAGTCCTCCACTCCCTCCGCAGCTGCCAGAAGATGGAAATCTGAGTATGGAATATCATCCTTGTTTCATGTTTTAGGATGGATGACTTTAGATTGGTAAGTACCATAGGATTAGATGTTGTATAGCTGCTGCCTGAAAACCCCATTCCAACTCTACTAAACCCAGTGAGAGACCCCCTTCTAACCTACATGACGAGTCAAGTCAAAACCCTTCCTAAGTATTGCCGCCTTAATTTACTACCGACCTCTAGTTAAATGTTGCGTAAATGTTAATATACCGCTGATTATATTATATTATATTATATTATATAGGTTTAGACCCTTTGCATTGCAAGGATGCACTTTTGCTTTCACATGCCGAATTACCCACAGGTGGACATATTTATGTAATGTGTTTATGTTATGACAGTGTGATAACTGATATGAAGCGTATTTTCGAGGTTCCCCATGATGTATTTTTCTGGGTTCCCTTCCAATGATGTTTTTACTGATGATAGATTCTCGAAGATCTCTTCGAGAGGTATATGAACAATAGAAGAGTGCCAGCCAGCTTCAACAATCGGAAATCAGACCAAGTGCTTTGATTATATTTTAATTTTATTTGCCAACGAAATGGGATTTTATGCTTGATCAGTGTACTTCTACGTAACATATTACGTACCGGAAGTCACGAGGTTAAAGACTAATTGAATCCCAAGTATATTTTAAGCCTAACCTTCTAGTCGAAGAAAAGCGTTTGCAAATGCAATTGAGAAAACGCTAAGATTTCGTAGGATATGCTTTCCAGAACAACATCATCTAAAGAGATGAGGCAACGGCCTACCACTCTCTTTAACCATTTAATGCTCTGCGTTTTCTTTCGTTAATAGCTTTCCCCCATCTTTTGCTTCGGAGATTAATTTCTTGTTTAATTTTTTTCTTGATTGTTTTGTTGTGTGAGAGTGGCGGCAATACTGGCTCTTGGATGGTCCAATCATACTTGTGCTACAGAAATCACCCAGGCCTCTTCTCTCTATTTTGATCAATTTGAGAGGCTTGCCCTTACTCCCCAAGTATGAATCTTCCTACCCATAGAAAATCGTTGTCTCTGTACATGCAACAAACACAACATTCATCGTGGTTACAAGCATTAAACGCGTAGTCATAGTGAAGTTGCACTTTGGTCCTTGTAGCCTACGGCTTCATTAATTTTGTCAAATGTATAATTTGTGCAACTTTTACGTTAAGTCTGGAAGGCCTTGTTGAAGTAATGCTAATACTGTTATGATTAATAAAACACAAATAACAAAATTTATCGAAAGAAAAGAGACACAGTACAAGATAGAGGCCATTTAACAATGGTCCTCGTATGAGATATAGGCATCTACTGCCACACGATGCAGCTCTGCATCAAAGTCGGCTTGCAACGACCGAAATACAGATTCTGCACCTCTAAGTTTCACCCACATCTTCTCAAGCTTGACCATTCTTTCATTATTTATCCACCTCCAATCCACTACATGACTTCCTAAGTACCTCTCACACGCTTTCATAACATCAACAAACCCACCCTTCTCTTTCTTCTCCTCCACTTTCTCATGATCCGCACAGTCATTGCTTGTTTTCATCTCTTCTCTGGACACCGAATTCTTCTGTTTCTTCTTGATATGATGCTTTTTTTTCTTCTCAACAACTTGGTCATCTTCAGCAACATGAGCATCCTCATCAATTTCGGGTATCGCCTCCTTTTTCACATTCTTTTTCTTCATCTTCTTGGCCACGCTAGCATTGCACGTTAATCCTTCTCGGGGACGTTTTTCTTTTGCAACAGCAGCATCAGTAGATGATGGTGACTTCTTCTCGGTGTTTGAAGCAACATTTTTAGTTTTGTTCTTCTTGGGGTCGGACTTGATCACCTCTTGAGCAGAATTGTCATTGGAGTTGGCACTGGATTTGAATTTAGGTTCGGCATCTGTTTCAAAAGAAGGATCGAACTGATTATCTTCATCACATGTATCTGGTATGATTGTATCCTCCAGTTGAAGTTGACGACGAAGACCATATGAACCGCCAGATTCATATCCATCAAAAGATGGAGTGTCGGGATCAATGGGAGCAAGTGCAAGAGCAGCCATGGATACTTGCAAGTTGGTGCTTTTCTTGAGTTATGAGGCTATATATGCTTACTTTACTTAAGCTATGTATATGATTTCTGTATAAAACCAACACTTATTTATGTATAGAGGGTGGGAGTTGCAAAACAATAAGGCGCCAATGTGATGTGTTCAGCTAACGAGGCAATCAGCCATTTACTTTTATCTCATTTTTTTATGATTTACCCAACAGCCAAACGAATAGTCACATCAAATTGATACAAGATCGGATTTCCCGAGAGAAATATCAGCCTAAACTTGTTTCATTTATTTCCAATTCTAAATTCCCGAGAGAAATATCAGCCTAATCCTTTCTCCCTCGAAACTCATATCATTAATTAACTGTACCTTTAGTCGAGGAAAGAAAACCAAGAGAATAAAAGTTAACATAGGAATTCCCGACAATATTAATACTAAGGGGTGTTTGGTTTCGTGGGAAATGGGAAATTAAATGATTTCCCAAGTTTGGTAAGCCCAAGCATGGAAAATGATTTTCCGGGTATATGGGAAAATGAAACCACCCACCCCCTTGTTATGATCTTAAGATAAGTTTTCTTAATTTTTCTAAGATATATTCAAGTATTTACTCTCTCTCCTCTTGTACAATTTCTTTAATGTACGGGAGAAAATAAAATAAAATCAAGAGATTACATATATTGAAGTGAGGTAGAAGAAAATAAGTAGAAAAAATAATAATAGAAAAAAGAGATGGCAGGGTTCTCAATGTTTTTGCCATTGGGAAGCAACTCAAGTTTTAACCTGGAGAAAGCAGTGTGCAACCATGGCTTCTTCATGATGGCTCCCAACCGTTGGATTCCATCATCAAAAACACTCCAACGTCCACTGAGACTTGCAGACTCAACTACTTGTGTCACCGTTTCGATCTTACATCCGCCTAATCGGACCTCTCTCCTTGTTAGAGTTCGCGACATTCAAAACATCTCGTATACAGATCAACGTGCTATACTGGTATATTTTTATCTTATATATAATTGGATTTGGATCCTTAAGTAAGCATGTATGCACTTACATATTTTCTGTTGTTGTTGTATTTATTAGAACCAAGTGGCTCGAATGCTAAGGATATCTGAGAGAGATGAAATGGACATGGGGGAATATCAGAAAGTGCATCCAGAAGCGAAAGAGAAAGGCTTCGGTCGAGTTTTCCGGTCGCCTTCTCTCTTTGAAGACCTTGTCAAGTGTCTTCTTCTCTGTAATTGCACGTAAGTATAATATTACACTCGCTTCTTATTCTTACACATGCATGCACGTAAGTATAACAAATGAGATTTTGACACTCGACAGGTGGTCGAATACATTGAAGATGGCTCGAGCTCTCTGTGAGCTTCAATTTGAGCTAAGTAATAATGAAGCTTCAGCTAGGTCCGGACAAAAGAGGAAGAGAGAGACGTCAAATACATGGCCATGCAAAGTTATGAATCAAATGGATGGTGGGATTTTAGGCAATTTCCCAACTTCAAAAGAACTCGCTGGCCTTGATGAGAATACTTTAATCAACGACCATAAAGTTCTTGGGTACAGAGCAAAACTCATTCTAAAACTTGCTAGAGATGTGGAGCGTGGGACGATACGACTTCATGAGTTTGAGAAAGCCCTCGACGACATGTCGTTTAACCAGGATCAAGTGTTTCGGAGACTCAAGAAGATCAAAGGGTTTGGTTCATATGCATGTGCCAATGCATTGATGTGCATTGGATATTATCAGCACGTTCCACTCGATACTGAAACTATAAGACACTTACAAGAGGCCAGTTCAAAAAAACACACTCTTTACTCTTTAATTTATTTATTTATTAATTTCTAACACAATTATTCTTTTAAACTTGGTAAAATCTTTTTTTTCTTTTCAGGTTCGTGGGAGGAAGAATTGCGACAAAAAGACCGCCAGAAAATATGTGGCAGAAATTTATGACAAATATGCACCATATCAGTGCTTGGCATACTGGTATGCATATGCTTTTAGATATATATATATATATATGCTCTTGTAGATCGTGTCTCACTAACATAACATAAGATTAATTTATATGTTGTCAGAATGTGAATCTGATTCAACTTAGATTGGTGATCAGATTCACAATATAACAACTTAGACATTCGTCTATCAATAAAACTTTAAACATATCGTACGTATATGTAATTTATTTGTAAATGCCTACCATAGATTACTAGTGAACAAGTTTCACCTTGCACTCAATCGGTTGTTTTTTAGGTTGGAGCTCTTGGATTTCTACGAAAGCAAATTTGGGAAGCTAAGTGAATTACCCAGCTCAAGCTATGAAACAGTGAGTGGCAGCAGGGACGGAGCCATTTACAAGTCTGCAGTGAAATTCCTGTAATTTTAAACATGGTCTCAAGTCTCTAAACTTGTCGTCATTATTGTAATGAAACCAATGAACGAGACGTCACCTTAAATTGAAAGCCAACATGTTTTTTTGGGTCAAACGTTGGACGTGAAAAGCCAACATCATTATCTACAGGTTTGACACATGAAAAGTTTTTAAATTTTCTATAAGCTATTATTTCTATCAACGACATGCTTTAATTTCTCCACACAAAAAAAGAAGAGAAGAAATATATTCAATATAAATATACGTTGGGGTGGTATGTGTGACTTTTACGGCATGTAAAAACGTGTCTACAAAATTGTTAAGCAACAATAATTTACCTCTCTTTTCAAGTAAACTACTATTTAGGTCTATATTTTTCAGGTTATTTATTTTTTCTTAAATTATTTTTCCAGGCATGTAGAATAATTTACCTATCTTTGTAGGTAAACTACTTTTTTCAGGTACCTATATTTGCTGGGTAATTTTTTTTTCTGGTAAATTATTTCGTAGGTACCTATAGTTTTAGAGGGACTTATTTACCTGTCCACACGCTATTTAGCTAAACAATAATGTTAAGAACACCAACTATTATACTAATTGATGTGACATATGACATAGCAATCCATGTCACTGACTCACTTGCCACGTCATCTATTTTTAACTTGCTTAATTTTCTATTTTATCTTCTTTTTTTTTAAATCATTTATTTTATTTTATTTTTTTATTTTAGTATTTGAATCTCCATAGCTATAGATAGCTGCAGCGACACAGCTTCTATTGAATCAATTGGAGATAACAATTAAACCCTTGAGATTTCATTGTGAGATATGAGGTTTCCATTGATGATCAACAATTTTTTTTTTTTTTTTGGAGGAACTTTCAGTCACCAAAAGCACCCCTTTTGGACCCACGAAGAATTGAAACTAATTTAACATTTAGGGTAAAATAAAATGATTAATCCCACAAGCTAATGATACACGACAATCACAATTTGTTCTTAAGTTTGTGACTTGATTATGTTTTTACTATTTGGTTTTTTTTTTTTTTTTTTTTGTAATACCTTTTTATTTGGCTTTGGAAGCACACAAATAAACAAAACATGTCATTATCGTGATTTTTTATTATAATATTCCAGGATATTTGTAGAAATGTCACTTGAATTTATACATCAGTTTCAATTTGTCACCTTAAAGAAAAATTTAAGCAAAATGTCACCTTCAATTTTCAAAATTCATGATTTATTACCTAACTTTAACATCATCCAATTTTCCATCCATTTTGAAGGGTATTTTAGTCTTTCCAATATGCAAATTTATGTTTTTTTTCCTTGCAATTTGCAAATTAATGTGCCAAATATATGCGTGATTTAATTACAACCTTTTGGCTTTTAAATTCTAAATATCTTTTGCTATTTTGTAAATTTCATAATCAACAGTTACATTTCACGTGGGTGCACCAGCTAGACCGCCACCACCTAACCTTGCCCTACCGGTTGCTTGAAATCAATGTAACATGCAAGTCTGTGAATGGAAAGGACACTCTCAGTCTCAGTCCAGGCTGCAACCTCTGCTAAGCTCAAAGCATATAACATGCTCCCTTAACCCCGCCAACGGGATAGGGGTCCACTGCGATAGGAAATGAAGGGTGTGACGTCAGGAACGGATCCAGGAATCTTATCTCATGGGGTCATAGTGTTAAAGTTCAATTTTTTTTTTTTTGAGGTTCTGAAGTCGGCAATGGAGGAGCTGGGGCTTAAAGGTTTGGGGGGGTGGAGATTGAGGATTTAGGTTTGAGGGTTTAGGAATGGGGGTTTTGGAGTTCTGAAGTCGGGAGGGATCTGTTAAAATCTGTTCTTTTTTTCTTTTTTTTTTAAGATCTAGACCAAAACAATCGTTTTGGTCAGGTCTTTTGAAAAAAAATTCACGGGTTGGGCCAAAACGACGCCGTTTTGACAAGGGTGTTGTAAAAAAAAAGTTACACGCTAGGCCAAAACGATGCCGTTTTGGTCAGCGTGTCTTAAAAAAAAATTAAAAGAAAAACATAAGCTCTATGCAACTTCTTCTTCCTCAGATCTGCAACTTTCTCCTTCAGCCATTCATGGGGCCACACAACCATTAAAGGGGACCTTCTAGCTTGCTTTCATGGAGTCCGTAGGGTCGTTGGACCCCATTGACCCCACTGTGGGTCTGTCCCTACGTGACGTCATTGTTTTGTCGTCCATGCTTCCAATTTCTAAAATTAAAATTGACTAAGAAATAGAAAATATAATGTAACACAAAATCAAGTGAGGTTCATAATAAATCTCTATTACTTGTACTGTGGCAAAATAATATTTATTACTAATATATAAGTTTAATGACATGTTTATTAATCCGTAATCCAAACCAAAATAAGAAAAAATTTACATATTTAACATTTTTAAGGTTTTTTTTTTATAAAAAAAAGTAAAAGTAAATGTTTTGAAGAATCAATGTCAACTTACTAGTCATGAAGAGAGAGTGAGGTTGTAATTCTTATGATTGAGTTTGACAAAGCTGTTGGAGAGGATTTTGATGATGTGGGTCACCTATTTTAACAATTCAAAACTGTTAAAGAGGTTGCAAATGCTCTAACATTAAGAACTCCTCCTCATGATTAATTATTGGAAGCAAGAGATAAGGGTTTCAGTTAAGGCAAGGTCAAGAGGTGTCCTACACATATGATATATTGGCCCACCTATAGAAAACGTGGCACCCTATGAACCCAAGAGCTTGGATCGAACCAATGCATGGCTGATCATGCAGAACTAGAGGGTTGAAAAAGCAAACCTCTCTTCAATTAGCTAAGGCGTCTTCAGCATGAGTTAACCACCAACATAAAAATTCATTATAAAAAACGAAACAAAGTTCAAAAAGGAAATGGAAAAGAAAATCCAAAACCCTACCACGTTTGTTTTGGTCGTAGGTCGACTTGATTTTTTTTGTTTACGTATGCATGTATAGCTTTTGCTATAGTTGTTGAGAAATAGTTGAATAGGGGTTTCGAACTTAATTTCGATGTGACATAAGCAAATGAGAGTGAAAGTTGTAGAAAGATAGAGCCAGCTAGCTCCATCTCAAGTTCTAAACGAGGAAATTTAAATTGAAAACTGAACAATTTATAACTCATAGATTGCTACAAAATTAACTTGATTTTATACCATCATTATAGAATACTACAGTATTACGGCAATGAAATAATATAACATTCATTGTACACTCAATAGATTTGTCCAAACAATATTGCTTATTTAATGTTTGTTTTTTTTTTAGGATCTTTCCTATTGAGAGGGGAGATAGCATTTGTCAAAACAAAAAAAAAATACAGAAAATATAAAATCATAGAAAATGGGCGGACCAAGGGACATGGACAAAGATTACAATAGTCTCAAAATGTTAATAAAAATGAAAGTATTATTGAGAAATACTTATGTATATGTATAATACAAGTATTAAATAGAAAAATACTCAATGCGTTATAGGAATAATAACTCTGAAAAATTAAAAAAAAATCAAAAGAGGACAATAGAGACTTGGGTAATGGCCTACGAGTAATGAATAATATTATAAACTACTCCTATTTATTTAAAACTAAAATGGACACCAAAAAAAAAAAAGTATAGCCGCCCGGCTACAACTATTAATTTGAATAAATATTAAAAAACAGGGTGTAGCGGTGCGACTATACTATTTATGTAAAAAAAGATCTATTATAGCTGCGTGGTCGTACTATTTATTAGAAAAATGATAATTTTGGCAATTTACAATTGAAATTTTTCGCTGTTATGTAATATTTTATGATTTTATTTTAATATTTTAATGTAAATTATTTGTATTGAATAATATGTTAAAATTATGTATATAATACGTGAAGTTTGTGTGTATTATTGAAAATTTTGTAACAAAAAAAGCGTGTATAAACATGAAAAATACCTACATACGGGTATTTTATGTTTTCTTTTTATACAAAAAGCTAGTATTTTACTGAGTCTATAATACGTGTATGGAAAACGGAAGTATTATTAAAAAATGCACACGAATGTGTATAATATGAGTATTTAACGCGAAAATATACGGATACAAACTATGGAAAAAATCATCATGACGTATTATACAAGTATTATATGGAAAATGAAAGTATTATTGAGAAATATGCACGTACATGTATAATACGAGTATTAAATTCTTTATATGAATAATAACTTTGGAAATCCTATTAATATGATTAAATATTAAAGAGTATAGCCATTCCGCTATACTATCAATTTGAATAAATATAAAGAACGGAGTATAGCCGTTCCGCTATACTATTATTTTGGAAAAAAATAAAAATAAACAAAAAAGGAGTATAGCCAATCGGCTATACAATTAAATTGAATAAAAATTTAGAAAAACACAGAAGTGCTATACTATTAATTTGGGAAAAAAATTTAAAACTACGGAGTACCAGCTATACTATAAATTTAATAAATATTAAAAAATGGCATATAGCCGCGCGGCTATCCTATTAATTTGAATAAAACTTTTTAAAAAACATGGAGTATAGAATTAATTTCATTAAAAATTTAAAAACAAGGACTGTAGCCGCGCGCCTACACTTACTAGTTTGAATAAATATAAAAAATGGAGTATAGCCGATTTATTTATAAAAAATAAATAAATAAAAAGACACAGTATAGCAGCACGGTCGTACTACTTATTAGATAAATGATAATTTTAGCCATTATGTAATATTTTACAATAATTTATTTTAATATTTATTATTTTTAATCAATAATATGTGAAAAATACGTACATATTTGTATTTTATGTTCACTTTTTATAAATAAATAAAACTTGTATTTTACTGAGTCTTTAAGACGTGTATGGAAAATGAAAGTATTATTAAAAACTACATATGTACGTGTATAATACAAGTATCTTATGGGAAAGTATACGAATAATAACTATGAAAAAAAATACGATGAAGTATTATATGGAAAATGAAAGTAT